GGTGACTCATATGCAAAATTGTGACAAAGTTCGTAGGTAGGTTGCAGGGTTCGGGTTTTGGCGATTGTAAGACTAGCAATCTGACAATTCACAACTATATCATAAAGCTCGACATTTTTGATATTATATAAGAGCATAAATTTATATACAATAACTTAAAATATTCATCTCCGTCATAAAAGCTTGCCTCTGTAAACGATCCGCGTATATCTTTCTGTGTCAGGTATGTTTATAATTTTTATTGAAGTCGATTGTATTAAAAACGTTTGAAAAGCGATTTTTCCGAAGTAAACCCAACTAAATTCGACACTTAAGTATATTTTGTTGAAATTCTGTCGGTGTCGGTGCTCAATTCGATATGTTCTATACTGGTCGCAACAAAAAAATTGTTACGTAAAACTTAACCAAACATAAAGCCTACGTGTATCTAACTGAGTTTCTGCCTAAACTCAACGCTGCTGATCGATGATATACGACATTTTTTATATTATTCACTACGACGGACTTATTTTCTTCACTTGTCACCTTTGTCTATAGACTAACAATAATAATGATCAATCGCTCCACGAAATTCCAGTTTGAGAAGCTTCTCACGTGAACCGGTTGTAATAATCTGAATGATAGTTAAAGACTTGTCTCAGACAGAACAGCTTCTAGAAAGCTTATTGTATTTAATGGTAGCTCAGGAGAAATTGTAAGAGAACAAATTTTTAATCTCGGAGCTGCCACTGTAGCTAGTGCTCCTTTTATATATGTATACTAGTGGATCCTGCCACGCGTTGTTCTGGTATACATTTTAAACTATTATTAAAATAACAAACTATTCAATCTAACGAAAATTTCATTTATAGTGATATCTCCCATAAACAGACACTGACGAACCAGCTTTTTTGTCCAGTTATTAAATTTGTCCGCTTAATATATTGTACTTATGAACATCAACAAATTGTGGGACCGGTCAATAAGTTAATGAAGATGCCCGCTTAATAGAGCGTCCATTAAATGCAGCTTTCACTGTAGTTCTTATTTATGAAATGTTTTGGCTTGTCCTATCTTCTAAGTTGCTTCAAACTGGATACTGTGTGCTATCTTTTGCTAAAATCGGTTCAGTAGTTTAGGAGTCTATCGCGAACAAACATTGTGACATGTAATTTTTATGTATATAAATCATAAGTTTTAGGTAAATAATAATTTAAAAATTCTAAGTATTTTAATTTTTTTTTTTTTTTGAAAAATCGAGACTAAAATACCCTATTAAAATAGACGAAAATTAGGAAGCAGAAATCGCTAAAAAAAATTGTTATATTTCTTTGTGTGATTGTCTGTACAAACTTTGAGTTATAATATTAAAACCAACCACATGATCTTCGTTTCATATGTGATCCACAATTGTATTGCTTCCTAAAACCACTGCACTATGTGTAGCCTAAGCTACTTGACAGGTAAACTCTTATGGTAGTTACACAGTGAATTGGCATGCAAGGCAGGGATGTTCAAAGAATTTTATTTACATAAAATCAACGGATTATTTTATTTCTTTTTAAACACAATTTTTAGTTATTATAGTTTTAATTACATTTGTATTCATAAAAATTTCGTTTGCTTTCAGGTTATAAACTTTCAAAAAATGGTCCACAATGTCCTCCAGGAATTAAATTTACTTTAGATAGTCATAATTATTAGTAATGAATTATTTGTGTAAAAATGTAAAAAGAATATTTAATGGTATATTTTTTAAAATATTTTAATTAGTAAAATGCATACCTTTATTATATATTTATATATGTTATAAAAGTTAATAATTTGATTGAAAATAACATTAAATATTATATAGTATTGGATGTTTTTATTTGTAATTTTTTCTTGTTTCGTTTTAAATTTTGTTTAAAAATTCCTTTTTTTGTGTAATTATAAATAGATTAAGTAATAATGTAAATAATTTAAGAGATTCTTCATAGAAAATTAAAGCCAAAATGGCCTCTAAATGTGAAAATGTGTTAAACCTTAGGAAATCTTGAATATTTTTTAAAGATCTCAAGTAAAAGGTTTTTTTTTTTCGGGAAACTTATGAAGTAATAATTTTAATTGTTCCTTTTTTTCGTATATATAAATTTCACAACTTTATAAAAATATATTTAAAAAAACGTATTTTTCTAAACATAAATAAACCTAAACAATTTTGTAAACTAAAAATAGTAAAATATAAAAATGGCTAATCAAATAGTGTATTAGTTACATTGTGGTTGAGGTGTATTAATGTGTAAAATATTACAAAAGAAAATGGAAATGATTGAAATAAAAAGAGAAAAATAAAAAGTAAAAAACAAAAAATAAAAATAACAAAAAAAAAACCAATAGAATCAAAAGAT